TGTAAGTTAGTGTAGCCACTATGGAAAACTGTGGAGGTTCCTCAGAAAACTAAAAATAGAATTACCATATGATCTAGCAATCCCACTCCTGGCATATATCTGGACAAAACTCTAACTCAAAATGATACATGCACCCCTATGTTCACAGCAGCTCTATTCACAATATTCAAGACATGGAAACAATCTAAATGTTCATTGACAGATGAATAGTTAAAGAAGACATGGTAGATTTATACAATAGAATACTGTTCAGCCATAAAAAAAAAGATGAAATAATGCCATTTGCCACAACATGGATGCAACTGGAGATTACCATACTAAGTGAAGTAAGTCAGAAAGACAAATACCATATGATATCACTTATATGTGGAATCTAAAATATGGCACAAATGAACATATCTACAAAACAGAAATAGACTCAGACATAGAGAACAGACTTGTGGTTGCCAAGGGGAAAAGGGGTGGGGGAAGGAAAGAGTAGGAGTGTGGGATTAGCAGGTGTAACTATTATATATAGGATGGATAAACAAGCTCCTACTCTATAGCACAGAGAACTATATTCAATATCCTGTGCTAAACCATAATGGAAAAGAATATGAAAAAAAAAAACGAATGTGTATATGTGTATAACTGTGTCACTTTGTTGTATAGCAGAGATTGGCACAACATTATAAATCAACTATACTTCAATAAAAAATTAAAAAAGAAGTCCCGGTGCCCAGGTGGCAAACCATACCAACTGAATCAATGTTTGGGGGAGTGGAAACCAGGCATAAATATTTTTTTGAAGATCTTCAGAAGATTTCAATGTCCAGCAAAGTTTGGAACCCATGCTGTAGTGTTTCCAGTCCGTGCTCTCTCTTAGGGAAGCCCCTCGGTATTGAGCAGCAAGACCACTTGCATTGACAACTTACAACCATCTCTGTTAACACAGCAGCTATTCTTTCTAGGAAATTCTTGTCAGGGAAGAAAGAATAATAACTTTGCTATTTGTTTTTGTCTGGGCAAAATAGTTTGTTCATCTAGTCAAAGAGCTCTCTTCTCAGAACAGTAGACTGTTTACCTGGGCAAACAGTTCACTTGTCAAACAGCTGTGTACTTACCCAAGACCTGACCTTCACCTTGCTGCATCCACCAGTACTAAACTGTCATGTCATGAATTTTGCCCAGTCTCAACCAGCTTCCCCGCTTAGACCTACCTTAAGCCACTTGAACCCAGACGCCCTAGACCCTGTAAATATGCTTTCCTCAGCATCGCTTGATTAGCAGGTTTTCTGTGGACTTCCCTGGTGGCTCAGATGGTAAAGCATCTGCCTACAATGCGGCTTCGATCCCTGGGTCAGGAAGATCCCCTGGAGAAGGCAATGGCACCCCACTCCAGTACTCTTGCCTGGAAAACCCCATGGATGGAGGAGCCTGGTAGGCTACAGTCCACGGGGTCGCACAGAGTCAGACACGACTGAGCGACTTCACGTCACTTCACTTCTGTGGTCTTCAGAGAACTTGACTTCTGATAGCGTAACTTCACTGCCTATCTTCACCTGCATTTCATTCCTGTGGGCTAGGAGGAAGAGCTTCTTGACCTCATTTGTGTAAATCCTATCTTTTCCTATAAACCCCGACCCCCCAATCATTCTCTTTTTTGGAACCTTCCCTTCTTTCTAGGAAAACCACTCCTGTGTTCCTTTACTCACACACTTGCAATACTTCTGACACCAGAAGTGGGGGTTTTCTCCACAGCAAACAATTCTCTGCAATGCCAGTTGCGCTGTGCTGTGCTTAGTCGCTCAGCTGTGTCTGATTCTTTGCAGCCCCATAGGATGTAGCCCGCCAGGCTCCTCGGTCCATGAGGATTCTTCAGGCAAGAATACTGCAGTGAGTTGCCATGCCCCCCTCCAGGGGATCTTCCCAACCCAGGGATCAAAGCCAGGTCTCCCACATTGCAGGCAGATTCTTTACCATCTGAGCCACCAGGGAAGCCCAAGAATACTGGAGTGGGTTTGCCTAATCCTTCTCCAGGGGCTCTTCCTGACCCAGGAATCAAACCGGGATCTCCTGCATTGTAGGCGGATTCTTTACCAGCTTAATAAAGGATCCAGGTGAACAGCCAAATGAAGAGATACCTGGGGTGAGCTGTGTAGGAAGGGGCAAACCACTCTGCAGGCACTTCCTAACCAGGAAGTTCTCTGAAGCCCATAATTCTGGGATTGTTCTGGAGGCTTCATCACATAGACAGGATCAATTCTCCAGTCTCCTGTCCCTCTCCCCTTCCTGGAGGACAGAGGGTGGGTGAAAAGTTCCAAGTTTCTCCTTACGGCTTGGTCTTTCTGATGATCAGCCCCCAACCTGAAGCTGCTCAGGAGTCCACCAAGAATTGCCTCATTAGAACGAAAGACATTCCTAGCACCCAGGAAATTCCAAGGGATTGGGTAACTCTGTCAAAAACTGGGGTCAAAGACCAATTAGTAGAACAAAGGATGTTCCTACCACTTAGGAAATGCCAAGGATTTTAGAAATTTTGTGCCAGGAACCAGGGGCAGAGACAAACATGCATACATATATATGTTTGTATATAATTATTTTCACAACTTCCCTCCTGACTCTTTCTTCCTGTCATCTGGTTTGCTAATATTTACCCAAATGAAAAGATAATCATTTGACCTTGTTACCTCTTCTCACAACTATTTTCTGTCTATATCCTTGAATGCATGAAATATCACCACAACATCACCTTCCTGGGCAACTATGTCTCTCCTAGTTTTCTTAGCCTGACTCACCACACAGCTGAAACTTTTTCTCACACGTCTTACTAATGACCTCTTTATTACGACATCTAATGGTCTTTCATCATAGTTCCTTTTGATGACCCCACTGGATATGACATTTACTTCATCTCTCCCTCTCCCTGTTGTTGCTGATTTTTTTTTTTTTTTGCTTTCATGACATGTCACTTTCTCCATGTCACCACCTCACTTTCCTTCACTCACTTTCTCTCTCTCCCCCTTTTAGTTCTTCTTCCTCGCTCAAATTACCATCTGTGAGTATCCTCCAACACTCCAGTCAACTCACATGCCATCTCTGAAGGAAGAAACTCTTGTAACTTCAATCCTCACCTTCGAGAACAACTTCTACATCAGTAATTCAAGCACAGGATAGAGCAGGTGCTTCACAAACACCCTTGAATTAGTTATCCAGTAGCTGATGAAGATGAGCACATCATTTTCAGGGAGTGTCTCATACATAGTACCAGCTGGAATTGGCGGCAGACTTTGCATCTGGACTGAGCAAGGCTGTGTGCTCAGCACTGGATGTGTCACATGAAGCAGACTGTTCCAGTAGCTCTGTTGTGTCTTGACCTCGTGACTCCATTCTCATGATTATCAATCCATCCCAGCTGCACTGCCTACAGGACACCAGCCTAAGGTCTTTGGCCAGCCCTCAACATACTTGAGATGGAATTTACAAAAGGAAAATTGAGAAACGCCCTCTTGAGGATGAGGTCTCAGAATAGCAAGTCTTCACTCTCCCTCTCCACTGGGCTACAGGGGGAAATCCGTGTGATCTTTCTGGTGTAATGGGGACATGGTAACTATCTTGCCCTCTTGTAACTCTATCATAGGCACTGAATTAGAGGTGGAAGAGGGTATGTTCATGAGTTATCCCTGAAATAGCTCTGGAGACATTCAGAAGTGCCATTGACCAAGTTATGTTTATGATTTTTCTACGTGTGTGTTGTCTAACAAATATGTTTAAAGCAGCATTTTAACAGACACTATACTAAGTGCTATGGGCTTCCCTGGTAGCTCAGTGGTAAAGAATCTGCCTGCCAAAGCAGGAGACTCGGATTTGATCCCTGGGTGGGGAAGATCCCCCTGGAGAAAGAAATAGCAACCCACTCCAGTATTCTTGCCTGGGAAATCCCGTAGACAGAGGAGCCTGTCAGGCTACAGTCCATGGGGTTGCAAAGAGTCAGCCATGACTTAGCGACTAAACAACAACAACATACTAAGTGCTGATGATACTTGTCCCCTGCATCCAAAGAGCTCACACTCACTCAGGTCCCCACACAACCACATTTATGCTGTGTAACATAGAGTTAGACTTGAAATCAGGACAAAGGGCTATCATATTTGTCATAGTTTTGCAAGGTGTTTTCACATCCACTATCTCATTTAATATTTTTAACAGCCCAAGAAGATGGGCAAAGAAAATAGTGTTGATTCAACTTTATGGAAGAGGATATCAAGACTTAAAAGATGTCACATGCATCGTAATGTGTTTAGCTTACGGTTGAGAGCCAGGACAGCAAGCCAGGTGGCCAAGTAGAATCCCCTGCTTTTGTCACTATCCCGTTCTGCCTTCCTACATCTTTTTCCTCATCTATATGAAGAAGGTGCTAGGCTGGTGTCTTTCTGCTATGGTCCCTTCAACTATAAGACTCTCTGAGTCTATAACCAGGGCCCTCCCGCAAGGGAGCTCCCAGTCCAGGAGGGACAGTTGGAGCAAAAAACTAACAACTTTGTTCCCCTGCCAGCTCCTAGGGTTGTGTGAAGATTATCGTATATAATATACTAATCCAGTGCTTGTGTGTGTGTGAGATTGAGTAAAACTAGATGGAATGGTACTTTGTAGGTACCACTTTGCAACAGGTATTTCTCCAGGTTCTCCTTAGTTTTCCAGGTATCTGCCTCACCCAGGAGACTTTGGAGCAGGGATCATGTGATACCCACCATCACTAGGAATAGTGTCTTCTTTAAAAAAAAAATTATTTATTTTATTTTTGGCTGTCCTGGGTCTTCGCTGCTGCACAAGCTTTTCTCTATTTGCTGCGAGCAGGGGCCACTCTCTGGCTGTGGTGCGCAGGCTTCCCACCGCAGTGGTTTCTCTTGTTCCAGAGCAGGGGCTCCAGGGCTCGGGGGTTTCAGGAGTTGTGGCTCTCAGGCTCTGGTGCACAGGCTTAGCTGTTCTGTGGCATGTGGGATCCTCCTGGACCAGGGGTCGAACCCATGTCTCCTGCATTGGCAGGCAGATCCTTTACCACTAAGCCACCAGGGAAGCCAAGAATAGTGTCTTCAACAGGGATTGTTGAAGAAACAATGGGTACATTGAGGCAGGTTGATCTTAGAGAGGGACGTGGCTTGATCCATGTGCCAAATTCTCACCTCAACACACATTTTCGCATTTCTCAAGATATCTAGTTTAGTATGCTTGGTGGGAACCCACCCTGGAAGTTTAACAACTGTAAAATGAGGATGGGGGCAGATTTTGAGTAGAGAGGAGGATGAAGAGGAAGAAAGAGGAAGAAAACAGGAGAGGATGGAGCTAGAGCCTTCAAATGTGTAAAAATGTTTCTGTCTTCACAGACATTAAGTACCAGGACTTCATCTGTCTTGCCATCCCCATATTTTGCCAGTACTGCAACTGGAACTCCAGGTCTGCCATGGAGACAATCTCATGATGACATTACGTTCCAGGAAGTCTTGCTGAATGCACAGCTGCGGCAGCCCTGGCTCCCCCCTCATTCCTCCGGAAGCCTGCAATTTGTGTTGTTTTAGGCTCTGTGGCCCAGGAAGCATTATCAGATGGAAGTGTGCCACCTCCCCACCCCGGCCCCCAGTGCTGTCTTTGTGGCCAGTGAAGTAAATGCATCTTGTGCCTCTTAAGAAATGTGGGACAGGAGGTCGGGTGGAGCCCTGCCAGTGTGACCGGGGAGGTGCGTCAGTGGCTCAGTGACAGGTGGCAGAGGCCAAGGGCTTGGGAATCACTTACAGTCACGGAGATTTCTTTCTCTTTCAGCCTTTGCCCTCTGATGGGAATGAAGCAGCAGGCCGCCAAGCCACACAACGGAAGCCTGAAATGAGACGACTTGGGCAATTTGCACAAGAGTTTCCTTCTTTAAATAATTACAGAGTCACTATCCCTGGGGGCATTTGCTTATTGGCTGCCTTCACAGTCTTCTTCTTCTTTTTTTAGAGCAAGTCTCTTAAAGACACTGCTCTTGGTCTTACATGCACTTGCCCAGACTTGTCTTCTTCTTATAGTACTGATGTTCTACTGTTCAAAAGTTAGGAAGGAGCTGACTCTGAGCTGGAAACAAGGGCAGCAGAAGGTTGAGACAGTGGGCTCATTTTGTGCATAAGTCCCAGAGAGAGAGAGTGCTAGCCATTGTGGGAGGTGGGTTTGAGGGGTTGGATGTGCAAAATGGGGTCTAGCTGGCAGCCCCTGGGTAATCTGCTGATGGTGGTTTGGAAATGGCAACTGTTGAAAAACACTGACAACTGGGGTTGTTTCTCATCTGAAACATGGTGTCTGCACTGACTGTAAATGTTCCCCACAGGGAAATTGGCAAGGGTGTGCTGGTAAACTGGCTCTTTGGAAAGAAAAAAAAGGAGGGTTGGTTTGTAACCTTTAGTACATACTCTGACTCTGGCACATTTCCAGCTACCACGGTTAATCTGCCTGCCAAAATCCCAAATGTTTAACACTCTTCTCTCTGGAACAGATGCCAGCAGCTCCAGCCTTCCACTGGCTAAGAAACAAATTTCTACTTGCCCCTCACAGGCCAGCTTTGGGTCCACATGCAATATTCCCCCTGCCCCAAATTTAAAAAAAAAAAAAAAAAAAAAGGTTGGTTTCAGTTTTGCACTTATTTCATGTGTGCTTCTTGGCAAGGGCTTTACTTTTTCCAAACATAGCTCTCTCTTTTGAAAAACAAGAGTTCAGGTTATGCCATGTAGCATCTCTGTGAAGCTCACACCACTCTTCCCTAAGAACTACATCTTCTGTCTCATGGTGCCATGCTTGGGTTAAGAGATTCTGCACCTGTGGCCTGAGCTGATTAAACAGATTGATTGGCCAGGGGCCAGTCAGATCTCTCCCTTGATGATTAGCCCAAAGCAATCCCAAGCTTGAATTTGTGAGTGGAGGGGCAGAGAGAGGGGGACCCAAACCGAGGAAGTCCTCTGCCACCTACCACATCCCTCAATCTATCTGCTCTTTGCTTTGATTGTTCAGCTTTGTCTTGGAGTCGTGGAGATATCCCAGTTGCTTCCAATAAACTTTCTTCTAGCTCTCGGGCCAGTGAGAGTAGGAGTTTGTAAATTGTAAGTAATAGAGCTTTAATAAGGCATAAATGATCTTCAAGGTTTTTTTTATTATTATTTTTTGAGCTCTAATATTACACCAGTGATTATCTAAGTATGGTCTTCCCACCAGCAGCATCAACATCACTTGGGAATTTATCAGAAATGCCCCACCCCAGACCTATTAAATCAGAAACTCTAAGGGGGGCGTCCAGCAATTTGTGATTTTTACAAGCCTTCCAGGTAATTCTGACGTGTGCTCAAGTTTTGCAAACTGCTGTATTTACTATTTTAAAGGGTTATGTTTTATGTAAGAAAGGGATTTTTGTAATAAGTGCCACAATCTTTCTTTTGTAATTAAGTTACTAGACTGAAGGTCAAAGGATGATTTTTATTGGTAAAAAAGTTATTTTTAAAAAATTATTAATTTTATTAAATCTTCACCCTAGCATACTTTTTCTTTTTATAAAGCCATTTAAAAATTTTATTTTATTAAGTTGTTTTTTTTTTTTTTGACTGTGCCACACAGCCTGCAGGGTCTTAGTTACCTAACCAAGTATTGAACTTGCGCCCCCTACATTGCAAGTGTGGGGGTCTTAACCACTGGACCACCAGACAAGTCCCCAAAAGTTAATTTTTATAAATGACATGTATTACTTTTACAACTTTAAAGAAATTTCAACAGATTTTGTTTTTCTTTTTTTTGAATTTTTCATTTCAGTGGACTAAGACTGACATTTCAAGGATTAGCATAAAAGAATAGAAGAAAAGTGTGAAGAATGAAAATGCTGCCAATAAAGGACAAAAAAGTAAGCAACAGATCATTTCAAATGGTGAAAGTCTGGAAGGGAATATAAAACAGATAACCCAGCTGCTGTGTGGTTTGCACTGGACCAGATTTCGCAAAATGTGCCATTAAACACTGAAATGACTAATAATTTCTGGCATTGGGAAACTGCAGTAATGATTGATTTACATAAGTACAGTAAAAAGTGAAACAGGAAACTTTTTTTTTCATCCTGGTGGTTTTCACTGTTAGGTTTGGAAAGATAAGGTTGAATTGGAATTTTCACTGTCACAGGATCTTAAACAGGCAGTTGGAATAGATAGGGCTCCTTTGTGGGTTGGTTGTTTGAAAGTAACATATTATTTTCCCATGGAAAATCATACGTTGGAGGGCCAACTGCGGGTAGCACAGCAGAATCCTTATTGGAAGGAAATCACAGTGCTGGTAATAGTACAGGTCCCTGCGGACAGGTTCCATGAGATGCCCTGCACTTTAGCAGTTCCCTCAGTAGCCCTTAGAGGACAGCCTCTGTGCTGGGGTTAGGGAAAGCAGAGTGATGGAATAAGGGATTCAGTGGAGGGTGGGGAGTCCTCTGGGGGAAGGAATGGGGACTTCATTTGCAAAAGTGTCTACAGGAAGAACACTAAGGGTGGAGGGGGCTCTGCCACTGTGTCCAAATATGTGTGTTATTCATAAATTGAATAACCAAAAAAATTGGGAACTACCTGTATTTGCTATTGGATGCTATATCTATTGTGGTGTCAACCTCTGAAACAAGTCTGAAGAGCCTAGTGGTTATACTTGCTGGCTTTGCAGTCAGGTGGATCTTGGTTTGAATACCAATTCCATGTGACCTTGGGCTAGTTACTAAAAAATGCTGTGTCTCATGTCCTCATCTATAAAAGGGCGGTGGTCATGATGAGTGTTTACCTGACAGGGTTGCTGTAAGAATTCAAGGAGATAATTTTTATAAAGCACTTAACACACTGTGCATTTAATATAGAGGGCTTCCCAGGTGGCACAGTGGTAAAGAATCGGCCCGCCAATGCAGGAGACACAAGAGACTTGGGTTCAATCCCTGGGTCAGGAAGATCCCCTGGAGAAGGAAATGGCAACCCACTCCAGTTTTCTTGCCTGGGAAATCCCATAGACAGAGGAGCCTGTTAGGCTACAGTCCATGGGGTCGCAAAGAGTCAGCCATGACTTAGCGACTAAACAACAAAGGTTGCTTCCATGTCCTGGCTATTATAAACAGTGCTGCGATGAACATTGGGGTGCACGTGTCTCTTTCAGATCTGGTTTCCTTGTGCACCTACTTTCTTATGTGAGCTGGTGAACCTCCCCCCGCCTATCGCTGAATCTTCATAGAAGATTCCACCAGTTGAAAATCTTACTGCAAATGTGTTCCATAGGAATTTAAGAATTCTAGAGAAAATAAATACAGGAAAAACTTCTATAATAATTCATGATGCAGAAAATATGTTTATTATTATAATGATTATTTCCTTCAATATGATTGCTGTTTGAAGCTAATAGTGTTTAAAAACAAAAGCCAAAACAAGCCCTGCCTAATAGTACAGGAAAACTGGCCTGGGTATATTTAATCATGTGTCTTGCTCTTCTGACAGCCCCAACTGCTGAAAATATTCATGAGTGTGGTTTTGCCTTCATGTTCCTGGGTAAATACGGATAATACATTGTCCTTCTGGGCCTTAGGAATGTTTCGAAAGGCCTGAAGGTTTACAGCTGTTTGGCTCTGACACAGGATTTCCCAGGGCCTTTGTGGTGTGTGGGCAAAGCATGTTGGTTATGCTGGGTGGGTGTGCTGGCTACGGCCAATGTCATCTAGAGACGATGCCAAGGAAGGGCCCCTGGAGCCCCATGTGTCTGTCCCAGGGATTTGGAGCACATCTCCGAGTGGTGCTTCTGTCTTCGAGCAGGGAGACACAAGTAAGTTCTGTCGATGTGTCTTCTGTTTACTGCAAATGAGTCCATCTCAGTAACATACCCTCAAAGTCCAAGCATTTACAGACTAAGAGGACAAACTTCAAAAGAACATGAATCTTTGTACCAGATGGAGTTTGAGAGCTCTCTTGTGACTTCTCTGGGTCTGTTCTGGTTAGCTGCAGAGCCTCAGGCACTGCATGGGTCCCCGAAGAGTGCCAGGATGATGAGTTCAGACTAGAGTGAGCTCAAGTTGGTGGCTGAGTCCTATAGACAAAAGCTCTGGAGTCAGAAGGCCAGAGTTCCTGGGCCTGGCTGGCTCATGTAGTCACACAACCACTGCCAGTCAAGGAGTACCTCGTTAGGGCCCAGTCAGAGTAGTTTTCTGAAGGAGTTCAGGCCTAGAACTCCCCCCACGGGTGCCTTACATTAGAAGCAGTAACTTCTCAACTGACTCAGACAGATCCCGATATACCTGACAACTTCCTTGGGGTATAAGCCCTCCTAAGAATATTCACATTATTAAAAGAGGCAGTTGGAGACTTAAACAGATTGTTAGACAAAGAAAGAAATCTTTTTGTAGGTTGGGTACAAGCGCAGCTGATGTGGGAAATAACTTTTGAATACACGGTCCTGCCTGGTAATCCTAAATGACTTGCATTTTGCTTGTCTGATTGGAGTGACTTTTCTCTCTTGTAAAATGGGGATAGCAACCCTTGACTTTTCTGACTCAGAAAGATACATCATGACAAAAAGAGGTAATAGATAATACTTTTGAAAGTATTGACACTGGGGCATTTTGTTGTAATTTTTAATAGGCAGCAACGTGGTGTTAAGGAAAAAGCATAAGTTTTGGAGTGAGGCAGATGTGGGTTCTGATTGCTCTATGTGAGCTGCATGAAAAATCACTGAACCTCTGTGAGCTTCAGTTTTTTCACTTATGAATAGGGATGATGGTCCCCACCTCTCAAGTTAATTGTGAGGCAAGAATGGGATGATATTTTGTGCTCTTAATGGTACTAACACCAATAAGTGCTGGCTGTTATCATTCCTCAGAGCACCATTCAAATGTGAGGTTTTATTTTCTACAAAGGGCAGTTATGGTATAAATCCAGTCTAATCTCAGGCTGATGGAAGGCTGCATGACCTTTGAGGATCCAGGGGACCTCTGGGGTGCAGTCTGAACTGAAGCAGGTGAGCTATGAGCTCCATTTCATACCTGAGGCTGTGCTTCTAGGTGGCCTCTTGGGGCATTTGACCATTATTCCCCAGTGGCTTTATCTTTCAAGCATACCTTAAAATGCCAGCTTTGAATAGGTGAAGCCCAGTCTGTATATAACCAGCTCTCTGTACAGGGCCTGGGACACAGTAGGGGATCTACCAACATTAATTAAATATACAAATGACCAGGATTGGCCATCTGTACTTGCATGGGCTCCTCCACAAAATCCAGTCTGAACTTGAGTTCAGGAAATCAGGACTGGAAGAAGGCTATGTGGTCATGCAATGAGAATTTAATACCCAGATGGTATTGAGGGCAAAAAAAAAAAAAAAAATAGTGTGGACTACATAGGGATGAAGTGTGCTCCTTTTCACCCCAGGTCAGCCTGGAAAAGTCATGTGTCTTGATCTTCAGAGCTGAAGTATGGAAAATGTTAGCTTATGTGTCAGGAAGATGGATGCATGTCACTGCTTATTGCTACTTCGGGAATCAGGGATCATTCATTCATTTAACAAATACTTATTTAGTCCCTACTATATGCCAAGCATTATTTTAGACATATATTTTAGATATATCAAAATATATCACTGAACAAAATAGACAAAATCCTTGTCTTCAAGGAGTTTCCATTTGAATGGGGAAAATAGACTGTTAGCAAAGAGATCATTAACAAAGGTAGGTTGAATAAAACTAAAGCAGTGTCAGGGGGTGGAAAAAGCCAAGGGGTGTGTGTGATTTCTAGTAGGGTGATCAGGAGACAGCAAGAGGGCCTCTCTGGCTGAAGCACATGCGGAGGAGAGAGTGATGAGATATGAGGTTGGAAGGAAGCAAGAACTAGGTCCTGGAGTCCGTTTTAGGCCAAGGCCAGGACTTTGGGTTTATTCTAAGGGTGACAAGAGAATTTTGAGCAGAGGAGTGATTTCTGTTCCTAAAGGACTCTGGCTGCCTGCCCAGCTGCTACTGCAGAAGCTCTGGTGAGAGATAATTGCCACATGGAGAAGGATGGGAGGGGCAGAAGAAATAGTAAATGAAGAAATGTGGCATATGACTTAGTGACTGAGTCAACAGGATTTGCCAATGGATTGGATGGAACATTTGAGAAAGAGAGACCAAGGATCACTCCAAGATGTTTTACCTAATTAGGAGGAAGTGTTTCCTGAGATGGGATGTAAAAAGGAGGGGCAGATTTCGTGAGGGGAAATGAAGGATTTGGTTCGGGATCCCCTTATAGTCACCTATTGCTATATAACAAACCACTCTAAGACATAGTGACTTAAAAGTACAACGGATTATTATCTTTCATGTTTCTCAAAGGTGGACTAGGCTCAACTAAGTGATTCTTGGTTGTTTTTCTTTGGCAGTTGCAGTGAGTCATTTGGGGCTCATTCCTGTGGCTGGCAGGCAATTCTGGCCATTTGCTGGCAGCTCAGCTAGAGCTGTCAATGGCAGTGCAAACATACGTTGCTTGACCTTCATACAATAGGGCATCTCAGTTCCAAGAGTGAGTATACCAGAGAGTTGCACTCCAAGAGAGCTAGGCAGAAGTTCCAGCATGGCTTCTTATGGCCTACTCTGCAAGTATCAAGCTGTTAACTTCTTCTGTGTTTTACTGGTCAGGCATGCCTCTAAGGCCAGCTGGTATTCAAAGGAGAAGGAGTAGGACTTTACCTCCTGATGCAAGAGCAGCATCCATATATAGGGACAGAAAGAGCTGTTGGCAGTCAACTTGGGGCACCATCTACCAGTGATGCTCTGAGTTTGAGATGTGTACTGATATTCAAGTTTGGAACTTAGGGAGAGATTGAAAGTGAAAGTGTTAGTCATTTGGTCATGTCTGACTCTTTGTGACCCCATGG